ATAATAAAATAAAATAGAGAAGGGGTTGGCATTGTGGTGTATCGAGTAAAGCCACCTCTCGTGATGCCGGCATCCAATTTGGGCACTGGTTCCTGTCCTAGCTGCTCCATTTCCAACCCATCTCCCTGCTGACAGCCTGGGAAAGCAGTGGAAGATGGCCCAAGTGCTTGAGCCCCTGCTACTCATATGGGAGAGCCTGAAGAAGCTGCTGGCTCCTGGCTCCAGCCTGGCCCAGCCTGGCCTGTTACAGCCATTTGGGGAGTAAACCAGAGGATGGAGGGTATCTTTCTCTCTCTAACTTTGTCGTCAAATAAATCTTTAAATAAATAAATGGAGGTAGATAAAAATTTTTTATGTTGCTACTTCAAAATGTTTGTGAAAATGGAATTAAAAGGTCAAGTTTATTTTGGTGGAATAAAGTTTTGAGGTACAGGCATCTGTAGAGTGGAAAAGCTACCACTTGGGACACTCACATCGCATTTCAGAGCTGCCTAGGTTTGAGTTCTGCTCCACTCTTCATTTCAGCTTCCTGCTAATGTGCACTCTGAGAGGCAGTAGTTGGGTCTCTCATTCACATGGGAGACCCAAATTGAGTTCTCAGCCCCTGGCTTTGGCCTGGCACAGCTCCAGCTGCTCTGGGCATTTGGGGAATGAACCAGTAGATAAAGATCTTTCTCTTTTTCTCTCTCTACTTTTCAAATAAAAATAAATAAGCAGATAAAAATTTTAAAAATAAAATAAAATCAGCCTGCAAGTTCTAAAAAAAAGTGCATGCCTGTTGGGATTTTGATTGTAATTGAATTCAATCTACAAATCACTTTGCAGAAGTAACATCTATGTCACAAACATGATACACATATAAGTACATTTCATTCACTCAGAACTTTAGTTTCTCAGCCATGTTTTGCAGTTTTAGGACACAGGTCTTACTTATCTTTAAAAATTTCCACCAAGGCCAAAAACTAGAATATCACTGCTTTTGGCATCAACTTTTTAGTCTATGCAGTGTCACATGGTTCTGAACACAAGGAGATCAGCAACGGTCCAGCATCTTCGGTGGCCTATCACTATCAAAGATAGCTGGCAGTGTGAGGATGATGTGGCTCAGTGTTCACAAAGTAGACTTCTACAATTTCCTCCGTCTTTTTCAAAACCTTTTGGTAGGCAGATATCTAAGATGCCAGCAAAGATTCTCCACCTCCTGCTGTTCTCGGGTGTGTGTGTTTACTGGGGTGTGGGCTGGGTCTGCTGAGTTGTCATTAGCAAACAGAATACAACAGTGTTGGAACATCACTGCCGTGATGAAATTACAAGGATTGTGCCTCCTCTCTTGCCAGCGCTCTCTCTAGTGGACAGTCTTTCTGGATCCTGAAGGTGCTCGCTCTGACACCACCAGCTGCTGTGTTTCAAAGGCTCTATGGAGGAAGCTCTGGCAAGGAACTGGGGGGATGTCCCTGGCCAAAACCTCATGAGGAACTGAAGCCTCAACCCCACAGCCTGAGAGGAAGTGAATCTTGTCAACAACCACATGAGTAAACAAGGAGGTGAGTCCTTCCTGGCCAGCCTGAGATGACTGCAGCTGTGTGACAGATGCAGAGCCACGGGATCCAGCTAAGCTGCCCTCAGATGCCTGGCCAGCAGAACCATGAGATAACAAGCGCTGTTTTCAGGAAGATGTGACTATTATAAACATATATGCACCTGATTATAGGGAACCTGGCTATTTAAAAGAAATGATAATGGTTCTAAAGGGAGACATAGACTCCAATACAATAGTAACAGGGGACTTCATTACCCCACTTTCAGCAATGGACAGATCAAGAAGATAGAAAATCAGCAAGGAAATAAACAACAGATTTAACTGACACTACAGACCAAATGGAACTAAGATAGCTATAGAATTTTTCATCCTACAGTTCCAGAATACACACGCTTTTCACCAGTGCATGGAACTTTCTCTAAGATAGACCACAGGCCAGGCCATAAAGCAAGTCTCAGCAAATTCAAAAAATTGAAACCATACCATGTATCGTCTCTGACAACAATGGAATGAAGCTGGAAATCAACAACTCAAGAATCTCTAGAACATATGCAAACACATGGATACTGAACAACATTCTCCTGAATGAACAGTGGGTGACAGAAGAAATCAAAAGAGAAATCAAAAAATTTCTGGAAACAAATGAAGATGACAATGCAACACATCAAAGCTTCAGGGGAAAAAGCAGTGTTAAGAGGAAAGTTTGTAGCAGTTGGTGCCTACATCAAGACTTTGCAAAGGCAGAAATAAATGAGCTATCCATGCATCTCAAGGACCTAGAAAAACAACAGCAAACCAAACCCAAAACTAGTAGGAGTAAAGAAATAATTAAAATTAGAGAAGAAATCAACAAAACTGAAACAAAAAAATACAAAAGATCAGTGAAATGAAGAGCTGGTTTTTTGAAAAATAAGTAAATAAATAAAATTGACACATCACTGGCCCAACTAATCAAGTAAAGGAAGAAGATACAAATCAATAAAATTAGGGATGACAAAGGAAATGTAACAACAGACACAGTAGAAATAAAAATTGTCATCAGAAATTACTACAGGGCCGGCGCCGTGGCTCACTAGGCTAATCCTCCGCCTTGCGGCGCCGGCACACCGGGTTCTAGTCCCGGTCGGGGCGCCGGATTCTGTCCCGGTTGTCCCTCTTCCAGGCCAGCTCTCTGCTGTGGCCAGGGAATGCAGTGGAGGATGGCCCAAGTGCTTGGGCCCTGCACCCCATGGGAGACCAGGGTAAGTACCTGGCTCCTGCCATCGGATCAGCGCGGTGCGCCGGCTGTGGTGGCCATTGGAGGGTGAACCAACGGCAAAGGAAGACCTTTCTCCCTGTCTCTCTCTCTCTCTCTCACTGTCCACTCTGCCTGTCCTCAAAAAAAAAAAAAAAAAAAAAAAAAAAAAAAAAAACTACAAAGAGCTGTATGCCAACAAACTGGGAAATCTAGAAGAAATGGACGGATTCCTGGACACAAACAAACTGCCTAAAACTGAGTCATGAAGGCACAGAAAGCCTAAACGGACCAATAACCAAGACAGAAATTGAATCAGTAATAAAGACTCTCCTCACAAAGAAAAGCCCAGGACTAGATGGCTTTACTGCTGAATTCTACCAGACATTCAGAGAAGTAACTCCAATTCTTCTCTAGCTATTCAAAGCACCTGAAAGGCAGGAAATCTTCCCAAATTCCATCTATGAAGCCAGCATCACCTTAATTCCTAAATGTGAAAAACATACAACAGAGAAAAAGAACTACAGACCAATATCCCTGATGAACACAGACGCAAAATCCTCAACAAAACACTAGCCTTCAAATCCAACAACACACCAGAAAGATCATTCACCCTGACCAAGTGGGATTTATCCCTGGAATGCAAGGATGGTTCAACATTCGCAAATCAATGTGATACATCATATTAACAAACTGAAGAACAAAAACCATATGATTATCTCAGTAGTTGCAGAGAAGGCATTTGATAAAAAGTATTTTATGGCACTAACTTTTGGGGTAATTTGCTACACAGCAACAGCTAATTAATCCAACCACAGGCAGTAACTCATCAATATGAAGCTTGTAATACTCCTCTTTTATACCTTGTAGGCCTAATTTTCTTTTATCCTGGACAGTATGATGAAGGTGACTGAAGATGGAATAATGGAAATTACCCAATCTGAAAAGTACAGAGAAAAGATGCTGGTGGGAAAAAAAAAAATGAACAGTGCTTCAAAGACTTATATGAATGCAATTATGGTCAGACATCCCATGTCATTAGAAGACAGAGATTTCCTACTGGGAACCAGGCAGTCAGAAGTGGCATAGCATTTTTCAGGTGCTGAAAGAAAAAAACCTGTCAGCCCAGGAACCCCACAGTTAGTGGAAGTACCCTTCAGGCATGAAAGGGAAATCAAGAAATTCCCCAATGGAGGAACACTGAGAATCTGTCTCAGCAGACTTAGCTAAGAAAAGCCAAACAAAACTCCTCAACAGAAAGGAAATAATAAAAGAAACTGTTGAATGTCAGAAGGAAACAAGAAACACAGAAAGAATAAAGATATGGGTAATTAGAACAGATTTTCCTTCCCCTCTTTTCTAAATTCTATTTGGTGGTTGAAGCAAAAATTCTAGCATTATCTGATGCAGTGTGTCTGCAGAAGAATAGTTAAGTAACAGTTAAAAATATGGAGGGTAATGGAAAAAAAAGTTTCTATGCATGATTTGATATAAAAAGGTGTTGAAACCAGGAGATTATTGTAACTTATTTATGTATAATGTAATGCCTACAGCAACCACTACCTATTTGTGCAAACAGATAACTTCAAAAATAATACACCTAAATCATATTGGGGTTCCACAAGATGTTCAGGTAACCCCAGGAAGGCAGGAATTGATAGACCCAACAGCTCAGATGGATTCAAGAGCATTACACTCAGTGAAAAGAGCCAGTTTTTAAAAGTCAAAGTCTATATGATTCTATAGAACATTCTCAGTAAAGAGATGGGGATAGATTACTCTCTGACAGGGTTCAGGGTGATGGAGGGAAGAGAGCAGGTGTGATGATAAGGGGACAGCATGAAGGAGATCTTTATGTGATAGCATAGTTCAATACCTGGCTGTCACTCCATCTGTCTTACAAGATCCTTTGTTAAATCCATTCTGTTCTCACCGTTACCATTATTGTTCAGGACCTCATAAACTCTTGCTTGAAACTTAACAGAGGCTACAAGCTCCCAGGCCTTATCTAGCTTACAGAGCAAATACCAGAAGATCTTTTGACACAAAAAGTTCAAAAGTGTGCAGAGGACAAGAAGAAGGGGAAATCTAAGAGACCTAAAGAAATCAAACAAAATATTTGTCGGCAAGGAGTCAAACTTATTTAGTTTAAAATTTCTTTTCACACAATCACATAAATTATGGGCAAATTATGTGTGTCTCTCAGTGAAAGTACAAAATACATACCTTAACTCTTCGAGCAATGCTAAGGAATTGACAGGTTTTATCATAGAGCTCTTCCAGGTTTTCTCTGTCCCAGTAGAAGTCAGGAGTGATCAAGAAGTCTGAACTCAAGTTTATACGATGCCTTAAAAAAGGGAAATTATAATTTTTTAATCTATTTTGTAGTAAAAATCATTGTTTCTATTAATTCCATATTTACATGATGTGTCAAGAAAAAATTTTTAATGCTGACATTTGCAAAATGCTTCTGAGAAACATGCAAGCTAAAACACTTAAGAATTTCAAAATTTTCATCCAAATTAATCTAATATTTAATACCAATATTACTTATTAAGTGGATAGAGAGAGAGAAATCTCTTTTTGTTTTAAATTTCTAAGCTTGTTTTATTTCATTAGGAAAGTTACAATATACACACACTTTTTGGGGACATAGCTCAAACATCAAAAATACACATCTTCCCCCTTCCCCGACTCCCTGTGAGTAATTGTCAGTTTCTTCAGTACCCCTCCATGTACATGGAAACATTGGATAAGCAAATACATATATACAAACATATACACTCTCTCTCTTTTTTCTGCATTTTAAGCAATTTTTTAAAAAAGATTTTTATTGTCATTTTATTTGAGATATATATACAGACATTCTATCTGCTAGCTCATTCCCTAAATGCTCTTAACAGCCAGGATTAGACGAGGCCAAAGCCAGGAACCTGGAACTCAATCCAGGTTTCCCATGTGGGTGGCAGGGACCTAAGTTCCTGGGCCATTATGTGCTGCCTCCTAGGGTGCACATTACTAGGACACTGGATCTGAGGAGCTAGGACTGCACCCAGAGACTTGAATATGCGATGCGGGCATCCCAAGCAGTGACTGAATTGCTGTGCCCACACCTACCTTATCCTTTTTTAACAAGAGATCTAAGCTTACTTTAAAATTTTTAATTAGATGAAAATTTATGTAAAAGGTATAAATAGCTCTTCAGTATAAAAATACCCTAAAGAAGAATTGAGAAAAACAGTGGTAGTTCCTCTTACCACCCAACTACAAACTCAAACCCTTTCTTCTTCATGGACAGATCCTCCAAACATTCTAATGAGGTCTTCCTGTTCTTCCATGCATAGGAGTATGCGCAAGCACACATGTGTACATATAAATATATATATCAAGATAAATATGAAATGTATTTTTGTTTGCTGACACAAAGGGGATACCATATATAATGGTATTTCAGAGTTCATGAAAAGGGCTGGCACGGTAGCACAGTGGAGTGAGGTGCTGCTTTGAATCCCAGCTGCTCCACTTCTGATCCAGCTCCCTGTTCCTTTCCCATGTACCTGGGAAAGCACTGGAAGTGCTTGGACCCCTTCCACCCACAGAGGAAACCCTAACAGAGTTCTTGGCTTCTAGCTTCAGCTTGGTCTAGCCTTGGCTGTTGCAGCCATTTAGGTAGTGAACCAGTAGACAGAAGATCAATGGATTTCTCTTTCTCTGTAACTGCTTTTCAATAAATATATCAATCTTTAAAAATAAAGTTCATAAAAATTGAATTAATGTGCAATTCTCATATGAGTTTTTTGAAGTACCATTAAATGATCTGTGACTGAATTTTTCACCTAACTTTCTAGATTTGTTTTCACAGATATATTACATTCCTTCTAACTACATATAGCACTTTATTGTAAAGATAAGAAAACTGGGGGTAAAAAAGTAAGCCATTATAGAAACTATTCAGAAACCTCAGTATATTTAATCCTAACTTTCTACCACTTGGGATACCTGCATCCCATTCTGGAGTGAATGGGATCAAGTCCTGCCTCTACTACTTCTGATCCAGCTTTTTACTAATGTACCTAGGAACCATAATCAGCAGATGATGGGTCAGGTAATTGGGGCCCTGCTACTCATGTGAAAGACGAGGATGGAGTTCCTGGCTCCTGACTTTGGCCTGGCCCAATGCTGGCAAACATTTAGGGAGTGAGTCAGTGCATGAAGATATCCTTTATGCTTTCCTTTTAAGGTATGCCCAAGAGGGAATGTGACATAATCTATATCCAAGTAAGATGCCATTTCAGTAAGTCTAAGATTTAAATTCTGTGATAAAACACACCATCATAGTTTAACTGGCAGCATTTTGCATGGCCTGTGACATTGTATCATGTCTCAGATTCAATAAAATATAATACATAAACTTTCTTGTAGCAAATTATGTCTATTTAGCATACACGATGCAGCGATATATTTGTATTGAAAATTCCCATTAACCAAAACTCCAGAATGTTTCTTCCCTCAAAGTACAGCTACTATGCTCTTTAAGATGGGTTTCATGTAAATTATGATCTCCTGCACATGCAAAATTTCTTCCAGTGTATTCCTAACACAGTTCAACTGCTTCTCATGGGTAATGGTTTTCCTGCTTATAATCAATGAAATGAAAATAGCTGTAATTCCTATAAAGGTACAAATGTTTGCTCTTCACTATCCTTCCAGAATTATTAGAATGTTTTCTTGAGATTGTGAAATGTATGAAGTATATTATTTACAACGCAAATTTTACCTTAGGGAAAATAGTTCACCCATTTTCTGCATGACTTCTTTGTGAGATAGTTTCACTTTCTTCCCAGCTTTTAAAGCCTGTTTGGGAGAGAAGGAAAAAAGCCCACATAAATAGCCAGTCCCTTGTATCCAGAGGTTCTGCATCCATGGATTCAATCAACCTGGATAGAAAAGTAAAAAAAAAAAAACAAAAAAAACAAAAAAAAACACATCTGTATTGTATAGATTTCTTTTTCTTGTCATGATGTCCTAGACAACACAATGTAACAACTTTTATAAGGCGCATACATTGTACTGCTAAAAATTACCTAGAGATGACTCACAGCATACAACAGATATGCATAGGTTATAGGCAAATACTACAATATTTTCTAGAAGAGACTTGAGCATCCACAGATTTTGGTGTCCTTAGGGGGTCTAATCCCCTACATATTCTGAGACATGACTGTATGTATGTACATATGTGTGTATACAGACATACACACACACACACATATATTTTTAATAAGTATTAGGTCCATAAAGCAAACTGTAAAGAAGCATCATTCTGACACTATGCAAACATCTTGTGGATGACTGTCTCCCAGATGCGTTTTAATTCATCCTGAAATATATCCAACTTTTTTTTTTGGAAATGATTTATTTTCATTTGAAAGGCAGAATGAGAGACAGAGATCTTTCATCTGCTGGTTCACTCCCCAAATGGCTGCAACACCCAGGGCTGAGCAGAAGCCAGATGCCAGGAACCCCATCTGGGTCTCCCCTGTGGGTGGCAGGGGCCAACCATTTGGACCACCTTCCACTGCTTTCCTAGTATGTTAGCAGGGAGCTGGATCGGAAGCAGAGTAGCTGGAACTCAAACAAGCATGCCAATGTAGCATGCTGGGGTTGCAAGTGGCAGCTTAATCTGCTGTGTCACAAGGTCACCTTCCCCCAATCTTATTAAGTAGAAGCTTTATATTTTAAGTTTCCCCCCTCAGCAGCATTTCCATATCTTTGTACAGTCTTAAACTCTTATTGGAAAAGCAGGGTCTCTTTTCCTAAGTATAATTACCTTATTCTGTTCCAGTGAGAACAAAATTAATTATAATAATTTTAACATACTGAAATTTTAATATTACAATATATCTATAACTACATACTAAAATATTTGACTATAATTATTATTCATGACATTATTTCTTTCATAATTTAGCTAAATATTTTTTTCATCAAGAACAAGCGGTAATAGTCTTCTTTCTTAAGAAAGATTTATTTTCTTGTACTTTAATTCAGTTGCATCAAAAATATTTCAACGAGTGGGCATTTAGCCTGGCAGTTAAGATGCCTGCCTGCATCCACACTGGAGTACCTGCGTTTGATACCCAGCACTGGCTCCTGACTCCAGTTTCCTGCTGATGTAGAACCTGGCAGTCAAGATGGCTCAAGTTACTGAGTTTCTGCTACCCACGTGGGTGTCCTGGATTAAGTTCTCAGCCCCCAGCTTTGGGGCCCCAGCTCCAGCCATTGCAACTGTTTGGTGAGTGAAACAGATGGGAGTTTGCTCGTTCTCTCTGCCTCTCAAAAAAATAAAATTTACCAAAAAAAAAAAAATTGCTTTGTCACAAGAAAACAATTTCAAGTTTTAAAAAGTTGAAAATAATCAATATAAAATTTATTTCCTCATTTTATATGTAACTGGGAAGCTTTTTCTTTGTGCTTAAATTCAGTATAGCTTTATTATTGTTGTGACTATTTTTTTGTTGTTAACATGTGTTGTTGTATTGGGAAATTTTATATTTTCTCTAACTAGAAATCAATCCTTGAAAGCAAGCATAAAATTGATATAATTACCTCTGGAATTGACTGAATAGACTCAATAAACTTATCCAGTGTTGCTTCCCAAATAGCCAGTTTCACTGGGAAAAAAAATTAACAATGGAACATTTCTTTATCATCATATTCATGTGTACACGAAATGCATAATTACACAGTACCTTTGTTGTCATTTCAATGACAGTTTAAGAAGCAAATGAGTTAAAATCTGACAGTGAAATTTAAGAATAGTTATTACTGTAGAGGACAGAACTGAAGTAGAACAAGATCCAGGAAACTGAACGGGTTTCCAAGCCCTGTTTGCAGAACACAGGTGCATATATGTCAATTCCCGACTTTCTAATTTCCGATTCTACATCCTCGGAAACCCAGATGGGGTAAAGGACACCCTGACGCTGTGGCAGCTTTGCAGATGGGGAAGGAAGGACACTTGTGGGAGCTCTCCATGAAGCTTAGAAAGCTCTGAACTTCCCAGGAAGGTACAGACACGCTGCAGCAGCAGCCAAAGGCGGGCTCAGGGGACTGAGACAGCTTACTCAGGAGCACGGATCTTCCACAATACTAGAGCTGCTGTGACACTCTGCCCCTTTCTTGTGAAATGCCAGAGGGTGGTTTTCTACACACAGGCCTGGGCTCTCAGTGTGGGTTACATGCTACCTAAGTGTAACAGTCACACAGCGAGACAAGCAAAGGAAAACAAAGGCAGTAAAAAGCACGGGTAAAATACTTCTGGAGATGGTAGGCTTGATCAACACAGATACTAGATACTGTCTCTGATAGTAACTACTATTGAGGGAGAAAAAGGAATGCTAAGGATTTGTTGAATGTTCTTTGAAAACGAGTCAGAATTTTTACTAAAGGTCTAATTTTCCCTTGAGAAAATGGCAACAGTCAACAGCACTCACTCACCTGAAAGACAAAGAGCATTGGAGAAAGCGAATTTCTCCAGAATGACATCGTCTAAATCCAGCTCCGAGTTTAACCTGATTTCCCCTCTGTGAAGTTTTGACTGCCCCCTGCACAGACAAAGAAAAGGGGATCTTCTAAATGTGAAAACATTTTGTTTTCTTTGGAAAAAGCCACTTTACAATTTTTCTTTCTAGAGGTCATTTTGACAGTTTCTATCAGTCATATAAATGTTCTCATATGCTTTGATGCAAATAATTCCACTTCTAGGAATTTATCCTAGGAAAACATTCAAAGATGCAAAGAACACTTTGTGAATATACCTTTTTATGTCTAAAAGTTGAACAGTAAAAAATTAGAAAAGAAACTAAATATTCAGTAGGACAATGCTTCAACAATAGTTAATTTTCTAAGAACAAAAATTATAAAGCGTATTTAGAAGTATATTTAATAGACAGGGAAAACATTCATAATAAATTGCTATGGTAATGATTCCGAATATAAAACTATACACACAGTGCAATCTAAAAATCACACCGACCTGACCGGGAAGGGAGTGAAACAGGGGAGTTTGTGAGAACTCACGGAGTGCCCGAAGGGCTCTGGTAGGGACTTGGGACAGGGGGGAAGGAACTGGTGAACATAAACATCACGAGTGAGCATGAAGGGGACAGGTAAACGTCCACCCAGGAAGCCGAGACCAGGGAGGTGGACACAGGGCCTGCCAGAGGCAGAGCCTGCCCTGACAACACCAGAGGGAAGGGAATGCAGACCTAGAGCAGAGCTGACAAGATGCTTTACTGGAGCCAGCAGGAACCTGGGCTCCAAAGAGCAGGGCAGAAGGTTTTACCCCTCCAGCAACTGTAAGTGTGCGTGTGTGTATGTGTGTGCACGCGTGTATGAGCACATGTTTGCAGAACTGAGTGCCCAGTAAGCAACAGTGTGATCTGGAAGTAGAGTGAAGGAGGAGAATGCATGGAACCGGGCCACAGGGCCGAGGGCTTAGTAATTAATACAATCCCATCAGCTCTCCATTTGTTGTCTCTTAGGTTCACACCCTCAGTCCCTGGCAGCCCCTGGGCCTAGGTCCTCAGTCACCAGTCAGGAGCCTTAGGCAGGAGCCTCACTGAACCCCATCTGAAAGCCAGGTAACTGCCATGGCTTTGTCAGACTGGAGATGACACGGAAGAACGCTTGGAAACAGTAATTCTTGTCATCGGCTGTCTTCTCTCGTGGTCTTTCTGTAGCTGCTGAGTCTCTGGAACGTTCCCAGCTCTGCTTTCTACACTTCCTTTCTTAATCCACAGCAACCATCTCTCCTGTTTCACTGGACAGCAGCTCCACAAGGAAAAAGACCTTTCTGTCTCTTGCCCATTGCCTTCTGCCGCGCTCACTGCTCTCCACCTTCCCCACCTAGCTGAGAAGGAAATCCGCTGGCCCAACGACATCCACTCACCCGACCTGGGACGGCCCCGCAGGCTCACATTCTCCAAGGGTTCTCATACCCAGCCCTCATTACACTCCCTTTACACATCCCAAATCAGCAGAACGATGTGGATTTACTAGAGAGAAAACTCTTCTGAAATAACGTGATTGGTTCATTCTAATGAAGGTATACTATTTTATTGATGTAGGCTGCCTACAAAACTTTAAGTCCCCCATGTTCATGTTTATCTCCTCCACTGTTTCACCTGGTTTATTTCAAGTGATTAAAGTTACTTACTCTACTTTTACGTAGTTAAGCTCTTCGTTTTCCCAGTGTACCAACGCAATTTCATAGGGCTGAATTTCATGTTTTTCTAGAACTTGCATCACATGTTTCCTCTAGAAGAAAAGGAAGGTTAAAACTGAAATTAAAAACTAATTCCCGCAGTGCGAACTTCACTATGTTAATGATTATAACATTTTTTCCCATTACATTTAACAGTGTGTTTTCTATTGCTTAGTTTTTAAGGAAAAGGCAAGTTTACTGTGACATTATACCAATCAGGTTGACCTTTTTTTTTTCTTTTTAACGTTTGGGAAAAACAAGTAAGCATAAAGGAGTAAAAAAAAATTATCAATATCCCACAACCCAAAGGAAACCAGCAGTAACATAGTTTGGTAAATCTCTAAAGAAAAAGCAAAGGCCAACATACTTGTAAAATCTAATCTTCGAAAACACAGAAGTAGAAAGTGAACGACTTTCTTCTGGTGTGAAATCCTAGTCCCTAGAGGCAATCATGATTAGACATGATGAATTTTCTCCCATACTTTTTGTTCATTTTACTTTTTATATGAAATGGGATCATACCATACATGTGAATCTTTTCAACACTAGTGTCCTTAATGGAGGAACCAGAATTTATTTCTTTTTTTTTTTTTTTTTTTATTTATTTTTTTTTATTTATTTTTTTTTTTTTTTATTTTTTTTTGACAGGCAGAGTGGACAGTGAGAGAGAGAGACAGAGAGAAAGGTCTTCCTTTGCCGTTGGTTCACCCTCCAATGGCCGCCGCGGCCGGCGCACTGCGGCCGGCGCACCGCGCTGATCCGATGGCAGGAGCCAGGAGTCAGGTGCTTTTCCTGGTCTCCCATGGGGTGCAGGGCCCAAGCACCTGGGCCATCCTCCACTGCACTCCCTGGCCACAGCAGAGGGCTGGCCTGGAAGAGGGGCAACCGGGACAGAATCCGGCGCCCCGACCGGGACCAGAACCCGGTGTGCCGGCGCCGCTAGGCGGAGGATTAGCCTAGTGAGCCGCGGCGCCGGCCCAGAATTTATTTCATCATCTTAAATGGCCATTCATGGGAGATATTTTTTTTAAAAGATTTATTATTTATTTTAACGATAGAATGACAAAAACAGAGGGACTCAGATACAGAGACCCAGATACCTTCCATCTACTGGTTCACTCCCTAAATGGCTACAACAGCCACAGCTGGGCCAGGCTGAAGCCAGCGGCCAGATACTCCATCTGGGTCTCTCACATTGGTGGCAGAGGCTCAAACACTTGTGCTATCTTCTGCTGCCTTCCTACACATCTAAGTAGGAAGCCGGGCTGGAAGCACATTAGCTGCGATTCAAACCAGCACTCTGATATGGGACGCTGGTATCTCAGGGGCAGATTAATCTGCTGTGCCACAAGGCCAGCGCCATGGGAGATTATTTTTACTCTTTACTCTGATAATGCCTCAAGACACCATCTTTATTTATGCATCTATCTTCATGGCCTTGTGGGAGTATTTCTTTAGGAAATATTAGCTCAAAAGACACACACACTTATAAATCTGATAAATATCGCTAAACTGCTGTCCAAAACGGTTTTTCCAATTTTAGAACTCAAGCATTTGTACTTTTATACAAATGCCTATTTATTGACTATCTTCCCCCTCCCCATCACATGAGGGTATATTTCCTAAACTGTGATTCCATGAAGCTTATTTTTAAATAAGATCTGATATTATGTTGGTTATATTTTGTCATCTGCTCGTTGAGTTTAACTATATCATATACCTAGGCAGTTTCCTAGGAATATGATTCTTAAGAGTTGTAGTATATTTTATCCTATGGATATGTAACAAGCTTCCCATTATTGCATATTTTATCTATTTATAATATTTGATATTGTAAATAATGCTTTGATGAAAATTTGTTCATAATTTATCATGCATGAACTGTGATTATTTCCTCTGGATAACTTCTTGAGTATAAAACTGCTGAGTTAAATATAAAACCTTGATGTTTATTACCAAACTTCGGCTTTTTTTTTTTTTTTCCGGTAAAGCTTTATTTATTTGACAGAGAAGGGGAGTCTTCCATCTGCTGGTTCATTCAACAAATGGCGCAGCAGCCAGGGCTGGGCCAGGGCAAAGTCAGAAGCAGATTCTTCCAGGTCTCAACATGGGAGCAGGGGCCCAAGCACTAGGGTACCCACCACTGCTTTCCAAGGTGCATTAGCAGGGAGCTGGATAGGAAATGGAGCAGTTGAGACTTGAACCAGCACCTAGATCAGATTCTAGCGCTGCAGGCTGTGGCTTAACTCACCCTGGCCACCCAACTGCTTCTAAAAAGGCTGTGTACATACTAAACAAATCCCGATTTGGCTACTGAAGAAATCATTTCCCATGAATGATATAGCTTAGAAAATGTATTACTTGCAAGTAACTGTATACATTATTCATTTTATACATTATCACATGCTAAAATACTTCTGTCGGTTGTATAGCTAGGATGGTTCTGACTTTCCATCCAATATTTTAAATTAGTGAGGGTTAATTAAAGATTTGTACTCTTAGAGGCTTTTTATACTTCTATATTTCACTTATACTTACAGTTTTGTCTTTCACATTCCAAAACACAGCAGCTCCTTCCCTGATTTAAAAGAACAAAGCAATCAACTAAGTTAAAGGTAGAACACATTCTTTAGGGTCATAATAAGGCCACGTTCAGATAACTTATAGGATGTTTCCAGAATGAAATTTTCAAAAAATATGATTCACTTACTGATTTGACAATATAGTCCCTAGGCAGACTTGCTAACATAAGAGCCTAGAGAGAGTTTAAGGTGTACTCGCACATGAGGTCTCACCAGCTGAAGTCTCTGGAGAAGTAAGATGGGCTAAACTTTAGCTGAGAAACTACAGAAGGGCAGAAAGAGAATGGCGAGGATGTAAAGACAGCAGGAGACAGGGCACGGGCCAAGGCTGACAGCACTGAAGACAACGGGAGTGGTGTCTACATCAGCAGTCAATGGAAACCCACATTTACAGACAAAGCAGGGGAAGATCACTAGTTTCGAAACTCTATTTTAAAACAGGATTTATCAGAGGATTCCTGACACTGATGAACTGTCCGAGCTAAAACAAGAACCAAATGTTGATTTTAAATCACGTACACATTTCTGAACAGATCCTTTGTTAAAGAGGTATACCTGCACCTTGGGAGGCCACCATTCCCTGCCCATGACCCCGTTTCCCACTGAGGTTTCTCTCCTGTCTCACCTGAAGAAGAACACTGTTCCAGGATCACCTTCTTTTGCAGAACTTCCCACACCCATCACCAAAATATTTGCAGCATCTGTGGTTTAAAGATCAGGGAATGAAAGCTGTTTCACAGGGTGACATAGGTTTAAGAGTCACTTATCAACATTTTTATAAAGTACTTAAGGTCATTTATCTACCATGATATGCCCATAACTCAATCTCTCTTTCTACTAAAGTTTGATAGGCTTTAATATATTAAATAAAAAGACTGTTAGAAATGACTCCCATATTATTTTGAAATAAACTATTTTCATATTAAATTACTTTGCTATTATTGTTAGTACATTTTAAAACTGTTCACCCACACCCTTTTTGATTAAGTAATCAGTCCAACTACCAATTATTAAAGTGCTAGGTTCAATACAACTAAGGTTCAAGAATTAAGCTTTGGGGCTGGCGCTGTGGTGTAGCGGGTTTACAGCACTGCATTCCAGATAGGCACTGGTTTGAGTCCCGGCTGCTCCTCTTCCAATCCAGCTCTCTGCTGTGGCCTGTGAAAGCAGCAGAAGATGGCTCAAGTGTTTGGGCCCCTGCACCCATGTGGGAGACAAGGAAGAAGCTCCTGGCTCTTGGCTTTGGACCAGCCCAACTTCAGCTGTCCTGGCCATTTGGGGACTGAACCAGAGGATGGAAAATCTCTCTCTTTTTCTCTGCCTCTCTGTAACTCTGCCTTTCAAGTAAAATAAATCTTTAACAAATTAAGCTTTTTATGAAATTAAACTAAAATCTGAAGTATTAATATAACTTCCTTTAAACACCATTTCATCAATAATGTAATTTGAATATTCTCAAATTAATCATTCTACTGAACTTAAAAATTATCTTTTTATTTTTAATTGACACATAATTATAACGATATCTATGGGGTATGGTATGACATTTAAGTGCATGTATACGGTGTGTAACTGGCATTTTTAACATCCCAAACACATATCATATCTTTATGTTGGCAACATTCAAAATCTTCTCTACTAGCTATTTTGAAATATCCAATAATTATTGTCAATTGCATTCACCGTACCAAGCTACAGAACATTAAATGTTATCTCTCCTACCGAACTGCAGCCCTGCAACCCATTAACCATCCTCTTTCCATCCCTCCCTTCCCCACACTCTTCCCAGGCTCTGATGATTTTTAAATTCTGTTGTATGAAGTGTGGCCCAATAGAAAATATACAGAAATAAAAGATACTGAACATTTCTTTCATTCTTTTTTTTTTTTTTAACAGGCAGAGCTAGACAGTGAGAGAGAGAGACAGAGAGAAAGGTCTTCCTTCCATTGGTTCACCCCCAAAACGGCCACTATGGCCAGTGCGCTGCACCAATCTGAAGCCGGGAGCCAGGTGCTTCTTCCTGGTCTCCCATGTGGGTGCAGGGCCCACCCTCCTCCACTGCACTCCCGGGCCACAGCAGAGCTGGACTGGAAGAGGAGCAACCAGGACAAGAATCCGGCGCCCCAACCAGGACTAGAACCCGGGGTGCCGGCGCAGCAGGCAGAGGATTAGCCTAGTGAGCTGAGGCACCGGCCAATACTGAACATTTCTAAACATATCTGATTTCCAGGTTAATTATGAAAACTACCATTAAAATCATTTGTAGTTATTTTTAAGTTTTCACATTCAAATAATCAGTGTTATTAAACAGATTAATATACAAAAATTTATCAAGAATAGTTGCTTTGCATATTAAGGTAATAATATTTATTATACACACATATTCTATAATGCACATTATAAATGTTAACATACCAAAAATATATTATTAACTTGCAAAACATATATTTCTAAATATAAATTACTATCTTCAAAATTTCAGAATTTCTGGGAGAAGTTAGGGGACAGGTTCTTCAGACAGAGCCCAAGTCTTAAAGTACCTCTTTTGATGAGCTCTAACTTCCCATGGAACTACATGCTGTACCAGTCAGAGGTTTTCTATGTAGCCAGAGTAACACAAATTAAAAGAAGAGACCCAGGCATGGAGACCCCCAGTCTGCAAGGCACTGAGCCATGCTGCTGGCATCTTAGCCAGGGATGCACCTGGGCAAGTTTTCATCTTAGGGGCTCTGGACAGATTTTCTTTTTTTTTAGGTTTGTTTATTTATTTGAAAGGCAGAGTTACAGAGAGTTAGAGGCAGAGAAACAGGTTTTCCATCTGTTGGTTCACTCCCCAGATGGCTACAACAGCCAGAGCTGAGCTGATCTGAAGCCAGGAGCTTCTTGCAGGTCTCCCACATGGGTGCAAGAGCCCAAGACTTGGACCATCTTCCACTGCTTGTCCAGGACATAGCAGAGAGCTGGATCAGAAATGGAGCAGATGGGTCTTGAACCAGCGGCGCCCATATGGGATGCTGACTGCAGGTGGTAGTTTTACCCAGTATGCCATAGCCCTGGCCTCTACAGCTGGTTTTCTAAGTCAGCTACAACTTGTTTTTGTTATCAAATGGCACAGATCATCTGTTCAAATGGTCAAGGCTGGAAAAACCACAAGGACATCATAGTTGTTTTCCTCTTTTTATCTGACAGGTAGAGTTATAGACAGAGAGAGAGAGAGACAGAGAGAAAGGTCCTCCTTCCATTGGTTCACTCCCCAAATGGCCGCCACGGCCAGTGCTGAGCCAATCTGAAGCCAGGAGCCAGGTGCTTCTTCCTGGTCTCCCATGCAGATGCAGGAGCCCAAACACTTAGGCCATCCTCCACTGCCCTCCTGGAACACAGCAAAGAGCTGGACTGAAAGAGGAGCAACTGGGACTAGAACCCGGTGCTCATGTGGGATGCCGGCACCACAGGTGGAGGATTAACCAAGTGAGCCATGGCGCTGGCCCCCACAGCTGTTTTTATATGGACTCAATGACTCTCTTTAAGATTTTCCTCTGTGGGGCCGGCGCCCTGGCTCACTTGGCTAATCCTCTGCCTGCAGCGTGGGCACCCCGGGTTCTAGTCCTGGTTGGGGTGCCAGTTTTGTCCCGGTTGCCCCTCTTCCAGTCCAGCTCTCTGTAAGTGGCCTGGGAAGGCAGTGGAGGATGGCCCAAGCACTTGGGCACCTGCACCTGCATGGGAGATCAGGAGGAGGCACCTGGCTCCTGGCTTCGAATCGGCTTAACTCCTGCTGTAGCAACCACTTTGGGGGGTGTGTGTGTGTGAACCAATGGAAGGAAGACCTTTCTCTCTCTCTCACTAACTCTGCCTGTCAAAAAAAAAAAAAAAAAAAGATTTTCCGCTAGCAGGGAGATTTCCAACCTGCTATTTTTGCTACTCTGGGCTAAATTCATAAATTTTGTTGTTATGAAGATATCTGAGTTTTACTATAAAATTTTCTTCCATCAAAATGTCCTAAGTTTTTCATTTTTAATTAAATCACTACTTTCTTGAGAATCCTTCCTGAGACTAACCTAAAATCCTCAAAATATTTCTTCTTATATTCATTGTGCTTATTGTCTATTTTGTGATTTTTTTTAAAAGCTCTTCCTATTTCTATCAGTTTTAGCATTCTGCAGTACTAAAATAACTTTCTGACATGACAGGAAGTTGTCTGGCCTTTGATCATCTCAAGGAAGAGTGATCCTATAACTGAAACTTAATAAAAGCACACTGATTTTATTCTGAGAACTAAGTCCTCTGTAAATACAATTTCTTTTCTTTACATGTTATTTGTATAAAAAGATTAAATGCCACTTTAATGATAAAATCCTTTCAACAGACAATGAAAGGCAAACAGGTGTATGCTTCAGACGACAGAACAGAAAATGATTTTCTAATGCATTTTAACATACTTGGCCCCAGGTTCAAGCGGAAGTACCTCTAGGCAAGCTTGTTACTTCCACGTATCCGTGGGAGGTCAGCTCTTGGGACAGACTTCCCAGGTGATACTCGTCTGCTGTTGCGAATGCTGTGCAGTGCATCAGGTCCTGTCGCAGAGAGAGGAGCACAACACGGTTTACCAAGAGGCTGACACACCTGTGCGACGGCAGCTGTGCCACCTTACGCGACTCCAGCTGCAAAGCTGGTGCTGCAGAGCTGTCTTCAGAAACCTCAAAGGTTTCACACAAAGGATGCGACAAGGATGAAGAGACAGAGGGACCTGGAGACAAATTTCAGCTCATTCTACCAAAGATCTTGCCCCTACAAGGCAAAAAAAGATGGAGCAAGATACAGACTCCTTATCAAATGAGGAAGCTCCAAAAACGCAAAAATGTTATGAAAAAACTATGCAGGGATTTCAAAATTTTTTTGCCTGTAAAACTGGAAATGCCTCCTGGTTTGGTTAGGGCTTTGGTTCCTGTACTGTGCATACATAGTTATCATGTTGTGTGTGTCTATATGGCATACATACTGAAGACAGCCAGTGGGGCTGGGAGTCTGTGGGCCTCTTCAGACCTACGGAGAATGTCCTTCACGAGCAGGCTGCCCGCTGTGGCTGGAAAGCCTGTCTCCAGGCCAGCTGGCATCTCCCCCACAATAGCTTCTCGTGCTGCATGCATGACCTTGTGGCTTTAAATCACACCTTCAGGGTGGGTGCAGGTTTTCACTCAGAGCTGGCAAGGGAAGGGGCTGAGCACCTGGGGAGAGTTAGACGGTCCGAGAGGCCCTGGCTATCTTGTGTGACCTTGCAGTTTTAAACTAGTTCTTCAAGTTAGTTGCCATCTTCCACCTAGAGCTAGCAGAGGAGGGGGCTGAGCCCCTGAGGAGACAGTCTCCAGGAGACCCGCCCCCCCATCTCCAAGCCCCAAGCCAATCAACATACCTATGTGAAACCCCCATCCAATGGGTGCCCCCACAGAATGACCCACTGGAAAACAACAGTAATGATTTAAAAACCTGGACACTTCCTCAAAGCCAGTGTTCCACTCAAGCACCCCGCCTGGTCTCCTCTCAGACCAGACGCTTTACCTATCACTTGCCAATTGAATAAAACTTTCTGCCTCTTTGCAAATTGTTTCCCGGCTTTTTATTTCAATACTAGGCTGAGGAAGAGTCCATGAGACTTGCTCCAGAAACCGCCTTCCCCTTTGCGACCGGTAACACACACAGTAAGCAATATGGCCCATGGTTATGTTTTTTCAAACTGCAGGACACAATCCATTAGTGATTTCTGTCATCAATTTAGTTGGTTTAAGTCAGCTTTAAAAAGCAAAAAGGGCTGGTGCCGCAGCTCAACAGACTAATCCTCCACCTGCGGTGCTGGCACACTGGGTTCTGGTCCCGGTTGGGGCACCGGATTCTGTCCTGGTTGCCCCTCTTCCAGTCCAGCTCTCTGCTGTGGCCCGGGAGTGCAGTGGAGGATGGCCCAGGTGCTTGGGCCCTGCACCCCATGGGAGACCAGGAGGAAGCACCTGGCTCCTGGCTTCAGATTGGCGCAGCGCCGGCTGTAGCGGCCATTTGGGGAGTGAACCAGCGGAAGGAAGAACTTTCTCTCTGTAACTCTACCTTTCAAATAAATACATAAAAATCTTAAAAAAAAAAAAAAAAAAAAGATGGCCCAAATCTTTGGGTCCCTGAACCCTCATGGAAAGACCCTGAGGAAGTTCCTGGCTCCTGGCTCTGGACTGGTGTAGCTCGGGCCGTTACGGCCAATTGGGGAGTGAACCAGCAGATGGAAGACCTCTCTCTCTGCCTCTCCTTCTCTCTCTAACTCTGACTTTCAAAAAATAAGTCAATCTTTTAAAAAAGAGCTCTGAGTCATTCTTAGGACCTACCTTCTTGGCTCCTAGATCCTTGGCTGCTCCGGTGCATTCCCAGGGTAAGATTTTAGAGACCCAGTCCACGAGTCCTCTCATTCTCTTGCCTGCCTAACCCTGCTTTGCTCTGTCCTCAATCTGTCTACACTCAAAAGGAGATGAATGAACACAGAGGATCTGAGGATCCACACAAATGGGAAAGTCTAAGCTCAATACAATACCCTCTCAGAAACAAGATCAGTGCACCTGAATCAGAAAAACTGCAAAGTCAGACGAACTCTGTCTCTGGGTAAGTGGGCACGCATGGACGTATTGCCCTGTTTTCAGAGAACGGATGGGCTAGTTTCCAGGGTTGTGTAGGAAGGGAGGAGCACATAGACACAGTCACATACACGTGGATCAAGAGAGTGGAAGAAGTCGTGGTGATGGGAGTGTGGGAACCACGTGGGTGCTGAAGGGTTACGAGTGCTGGCTATTTTTTCATGGCCTTGAGCAGTGAAAAGAGCAGACGTGATGTGAACCCAGCGATTAAGCTGGCGGAATGGAGGAGTCCTGTTAAAAGGCATCTGGTACGGCCAGCGCAGGCAGAGCCTGCCTGTGACAACTAACAGATTGACCCTCGCTAGGCAAAACTGCAGACTATGAGGGTGGACCTCAGAATTACTTCCGTGACTGCTGCAGCTGACGCACTCCGTTTGGGCTGAAGTGGGAGAAGTAAGAGGCACCAGAGGAGGACAGGGGATTAAAAAGGTCAAGAGTGGGTCCAGTGGAGCTATTTTCCCATAACTGTACTGAAAACTGTGGAGCCTGTGTCTTTAGAATCAGGGTTGTAAACCTGCAGCTCAAAGAAACATCTGACGCAAGAGTTGACCTACATAGCATTTCTAAAGTTTGAGCTAATTGTCAACAACAAGTGGAGACACTGCATAAAATCTGGATTCCCACCATCTCCTGACCCAGTGGAAGACGTGGCAATCACGAACTAGAGTAGGCAGCGCGTGGTCTCCAGCCCACGCAGCCCCTTCCTCCCCGCTGTCTCTTGCTGGTTTCACTCTAGTTTGTTACTGGCCAGGTCCACCCATGCTATAATACATGGAACTCTGAACTCTCAAGGATGAGACGAGCTGAAGTATTCAATCACCATGTTTATGAGAAAATAGATTCTTATGTCCAAATAGATGACAAATACATCTTTAAAAACAACTTGTTTAATTAACCACTCCCCTTTGGAAGTGGGTTAGAAGCCTGGGACAAGGTGTGTCCTGCGCCTCTCTTCCTTTCCCTGGCCTCTTGCCAGGAGGGGGCTTGCTGTAGCCCTGTGCCTCCAGGGCGCGTGGCCTTCAGGCCACCTGCCCTAGGCTTCCTGGCCTAGATGCTCCTCTACGTGGCTGGTTCCTGGTGCTTGGTATGAACCCAGATTTACCTCTCTCTCTTAGATAAAGCTCTCACATCCCTATGATTTCTCTCACTGGATAAAAGCCTAAAATGTAATAAATAAATAAAAACAACTTGTCTTCATTCAACTGTTCCAAGGATCTCTGTTCCATTTTTCGAAGATTGTTACCTTATTACCTTCCTGCAGTATTTCTGATTCATTTGGCTCGAATTTCTACTCAGTGGCACTGCGGACATGGCTGCCACCCTGCTCTCCCTGAATTCAACTTCTTGGATCTGAGTCTCTGTTTAAGTTGTGGGGCTTGTTCTATTATTAAACAATTCACACGTTTTAATAATTTTTTTTTTTTTGACAGGCAGAGTAGACAGTGAGAGAGAGAGACAGAGAGAAAGGTCTTCTTTTTCCATTGGTTCACCCTCCAATGGCCACCGCGCTGTGGCCGACGCACCGCGCTGATCCAATGGCAGGAGCAAGGTACTTCTCCTGGTCTCCCATGGGGTGCAGGGCCCAAGCACTTGGGCCATCCTCCACTGCACTCCCTGGCCACAGCAGAGGGCTGGCCTGGAAGAGGGGCAACCGGGACAGAATCCGGCGCCCCGACCGGGACTAGAACCCGGTGCGCCGGTGCTGCAGGCGGAGGATTAGCCTATTGAGCTGCGGCGCTGGCCCAATAATTGGCTTTTTTTGTCATCTTGTTTCCTGTGCTTTTAATTTCAAGTTTTTATTAAGGCCTGATGAGAGAAGGAAGAGAGAACCACAGAATGTCTTTTCTTTCCATTTTACCCCCATGAACCAAGGATGCTGTCACTCTGTGAAAAGCTTTCATTTTTAGAAATGGTTTTTCTGGGTTTTTATAGTGAATTTATATTTAGCACTAATTGCACATATATGTAAAACAAATTTCAGGTTTCAGGATGGAGATCAACAACCAACCAACCTAAAATAGTCACTGCATTTAGGCCCTAAACTTAGGACTTCCAGTTTTAAAATACAAAAGCAGCCCAAACCACTTTATTTCGGTTGTGTTTTGTTTTTCTGGTACAGAAGACAAAGCTCCAGCAGATGCGGCCATAAATCAATGTACAATTTGTGTTTTAGTAGCATTGCTAATTTTCTTGAAGAAGATTAGCATATTATGGCCATGTTGCTGTTACATGGCCGTGTTCTAACAGTGAGTTTATGTTTGGGTTCTGTCCGTGGTTCTTGGCACAGAGCTCCGACACCCTGGTCACTCCATGAGCACCAGGAATGTCTGCTCAAGCAAGGTCACTCTTGCTGGGCTCCTGGATGGCGGCAGGATAGGGGCCACCTGCCAGAACACCAGCCCTTGATGAGAACCCTGGAACTTTCAGCCCCCAGCCCATCCCTGGGAAAGGGAGAAAGGCTGCATTCAGCCCACGGTTGACCATGTCTACGTGATGTAAACACCTCAACAAGAAGTTTGGTTCAGATTGGACAATGTGCCTCTGTGTAGAGGGTGGGGGCAAACCCCAACCCCCCAGGAACACAGGCTTTGTGTCCTGGGCACTTCTAGACTTTGCCTGATACGCCTCTGACTCTGGCTGCTCATCTGTATCCTTTATAACCACATTTATAGAAACCAGTAAATGTTTTCCTGAGCTCTGTGAGCCATTCTAACAAATCATCAAACCAGAGGACGGCGTCACTGAGACCCCGAATGACAGCTGGTTGTTAGAAGTACAGGGTCGGGAAGGTGTTGTGGCGTAATAGGTAAAGCTGCTGCCTTCAATGCTGGAATCCCATCTGGGCACTGGTTCGAGTCTTGGCTGTTCCACTTCTGATCCAGCTCCCTGCTAATGCACCTGGGAGAGCA